AAAAAAAAAAAAAAAGGGAATGGAGGTCGTATTTGTCTAAAAATGGGGGGAGGGCAAAGATAATAATCACCAGCTGTTAGTAAAACCACAGATTGATGAGGGCAGACAAAGGATAAGGCTGAAGATGCAGAATTAGAGGTCAGATCATGAAAGCCTGCAGCCAACTGTAAGATGCTCAGACATTAATGCTTTGAAGAGTGGCTCGTGGTCAGACTTGTTTTGGAGATGAATCACTCTAAAAAGTGATGAGGATGAGTGTGAGGGCCATATGAATAAAGCGAGGCTGATTAGTGGAAGGAAAGAGTGCTAAATAAATCTAGTGTAGGCCTGCACCTCTTGAAGATTCCACAAATGCTGTGTGCAAAATTATTTCAGGTATGAAATTATGGACACCACTTGTAGAGTGAATTTTTATTAAATGAATAAATGTATTAATCTGGGTCCCTGGAGAACTAGACTGCTCATCGCTTTTCAAAAGTTGTCAAATGAGATGTGAAATCAACTACCTGAATGTGTTTAAGTTGCTTCAGTTTACTTTGTAGTTCTGGTGTCATCTTTTCCTAAATTGAGGGAACTCATTTAAGTGTTCTGTTTAAAATGCCCTGCCTCTTGAGTTTACCAAGGTCATCCTCACATTAAGAGCTCAGGGTGTAGCTCAGTGGTAGAGTGTGTGCTTGGTATATGCAAGGCTCTGAGTTTACTTCAGTTTAATGCTCAGCAGATGAGAGGAGGAAGAGAAAAGAAAGTCACTTGGATGGGTAGATAACTTTGGATTTACAGCTTGTAGTCACCACTTCAGAAACTGACTTATAATCTATTACGTTGCAAGAGTTTTTACTATAGACATGATGACATGATTCAAGGCATTAAATTAACTGGTACATAAAGTACAATACATATCAGATGCCATTAGTCAATAGACCATGTGTCCTAATAACTAATTTTTATTTATTTATTTCTTTTGAGAGATGGGGTTTTATTATGATGGCCTTAAAACTCTAGGGCACAAGTGATATCTCTGCCTCAGATTTTCAAATGGCTAGAACTGAAAGCATATATGCTGTTCCTGGCTAGATTTTCATATATTACTTTTCTTTTTAATTTTTCTTTCAGTACTAGGGATTGAAATCTGGACCTTCACTTGAGAGGCAAGCATAGCACCACTGAACCTGTATTACTTTTAAATGATACAGTACTCCTTATAGCAACAGATTCCTTCGGTACCACTGACTGAGGAGGACACAGCTGAGGAGATCCTATATAGGAAATTTTCAATGATTTTGTTTAATATTGTGAAAATCAATCTATACAAACACAAAAATTGTAATAATTTACTATGTGGCTTTCGAAGGTTCTTTTTTGAGTTACTCTGAACATAGTTATAAATAATACTTGTGAGTTTAGACATGCAAAAATACAGGTGTTCTGTGTCTGAGGAGCAATCTGTAGATCTCTACCTAGTTGTTCCATCAACTCTTGAAGCTCTAAGTGTCCTGGCACCCGCTCTCAAGTTTATGCTAAATATTTGTCTGAACCAAACTGCTCTGCCTCCTAATTTTCTTTACTATTTGTACCTTGCTTTGGTTAGAATAAAACCACTTGGGAAAAGATACTGTTTGGTTGTTGGCTGCTTAGGAAGAATAAATCACAAACCCCACTGCACCACCAAATGCTTTCTGCAAAGTTGGAACTACAGTACTATAAAATCATGCAGAGATCCGAGTTCTAGCCTTCTTTATTACATTTTTATGCTGTTTCTGGTTGCTGTGATTCATACAACACAGTGAGTACAATTCCCCAATAGAAAAACAGCTCTGACATTCATCTTCCTACTTATTAAGGTGGTCTTCCCAAATTCCCAAATATAACACTGCTTGTATTTTATTTAGATATTTGTCATCAACTTTCAAATTCCCTGATCTCTGACAAGTCTTATCACTGAGACTCAAACTCGTTAAACTCCAAAGAGTTTCAGAAAAATTTGACAATAAGATGTAAAGGATAATAAAAATGTAACTAACGTGAATACATTCTTTCCCAGAAGCACTCTCAGCCCCACAACACACTATAGCCTAGAGCTTATTGTACTTTACAGTCCTGTGAGTTTGATCATCATTGTCACATCTCATTTTTTTTCATTTTTAGTATAACTTTGACTGATCCAGCAATCTTTTATACACTTGGTTTCCCATACTCTTTACTATTAAATATTTAGGAATATGAATTTTATAGTAGAAAATGTCCATTTTAAATATACACAATATTCTCTGTACATTCTAAAGACATTTATATTAGTGAACATGCTACTTTATGTTTTAAAAACTACAATGAATTGTTCTTTCTCCATTATCCCAATATCTTCAGAATTCACTTTTTCAAGCTTGGATAATACCATAATTTATGTGAAAAATGGGAGCTGTAAGTGACCCAATTATTCCCATTTAAAACTGAGTTAGTCTAGGCCAGTGATGTCCTGGCGCATGTGTGCAAGTGGGCTGTTTGTTATTAGTGAGAGCTCTGAAAGGTTCACCCTCATTGGTCTAGGTCCACATTAAATCCAAAGATTACAGAGTGCCAGAAGACAGGAAATCAAAGTGTAACAAAAGTATGTCCTTTTTTCATAACCAAAATTGTCTGACTTACACTTTTTAAAACAAATGAAAAAAGGAAGTATGGAGCCTAATAGTCAGTTCATACTGAAGAAATCCAATATCACGAAACTTTCATGAACCTTATATGTTGTTTAAATGGTAGTTGAATAGTGAGTAAGAATCCCTGGAGTTCAACATCCATGCAGAAGGTCTAAGAGAACAAATAATACCAAATATCATTTGCCAGTGGTGTTCTCAGAGATGTAATGTGTCATGTGGCACAATTCTGATGATTAGTGAGTTGCAGCTCTAAAGGGGATTGGAATGTGTGACTTCATGCTTGTATTTTCCCTCCTTCAGATTTTAACTGCTAGTAGTGTACATGGGGAGAGATACGAAATGTACAAAAAAAGGTTTGTATAATTTGTACTAATTTTAATACTATAAGAGTTCTTATGCCTAAAAATTTTCAGGATCATTGTTTTGAAGGACTGATTATATTCCCAATTTTTAATGACAAAGATATGAGATACTATACATACATACGAACTCATAACGCGTGTTAGTGAGAACATCTATCTGCTTATGATCATCAGTATATTGAAACTGAGATGAAATAATTAAAGTTGAAACTCAGTTGACATGTTACCGAGCAAAGCTTTACTCTAGGTAAGTATCAGAATTCTAGCAAGCATTTTGTTGGTGTTGTATTTAGAAAGGGGATCCTGGGTATCAGTGAATCTCTTGCCACAACCTCCTGAATAAGCAGGACTCAGGCCTGTACCACAGAGACCAGCTCTCCAGTAAGCATCTGCCAATGTTGAAAACACCTTGGAATCTTGTAATAAGCTCTGTGGATCCCTAAACTGTATAAGGTTCCAAGCTAGAGATGTTATGATAGTGAACCATAAGTAGAAACATCTTAACGATTAATTTTTTTCTCTTATGCTTGCAAACACTTTATTTGCAAAAATGGACATCAACAAGCACATCTGAATTACTTCTGTCGAATCCACCCAAAACATTGGGAAAAAAATAATGAGAAGACTTGGGCATCTCAAACATTTTAATGTACTGTACTTTCCAGAGTGATCTATATTGCAAAATTTACCTGAGTTGCATGTCCATAAATCTCCCTTTGCTACTCTGCTTTTTTCTGAACGGGATGTTTCCTTTCAATGGCAGGCTGAATGGGGTTTGAAATGAGATATGTAATAAATACTATGTATTTCATGAAGCATGTAGTTAATTCAAGATATAAATATAAAGTTAGTACCTTCAAGTGAAGACATTTCTCAGATGATTCTAAAAAGCAAAAGGAAAGCATAATCAATTATGTGTAAATATGAGAAAGCCAAAGATACATTCATGTAGGACTGGCATGGAGCTGAATCCTCATGCTCTCCTGTAGCAGTGATTACTTTAGATTTTGGATTTTCACCCCCAATGGTTAGGACAATATGACAGGCCTTATGAGACATGCAGTTAAGATTTCAAAAATGACATTATGCTTCCAAAGGCCATAACTAAAATAAAACAGTGAGCATATACCAATGTGCTTATACACGCCGACTGAAGGAGAAAGTGATCTCAGTAAGTCATGGACGAGAGCATGAACATCAAAGCTGATGCTATACCATTACACTACAAGTATTTAATTGTGTTCTTCAGTTTGTCCTGACATTGTCAGAATTTGTCAGAAAGGACAAAGTTGTAGTAACTGCTCAGTGCAATATATCATTCCTTTTTTCTCAGATAAAGGTTTGGACATATACTTGTAGCATAATGGTTGATAAAAATGTTCATTTTTTCTAAACTCTTGTGGGCTACTGGAATGCCTACATTTCCTGTATCCTCCAGTTAGGCATCTTAAAGCTTCTTGATCCACTTATCCAAGAAGGTATGTAAATCACATCTAAGAAATTATGCACAGTAAGTTTGCAATATTGAAATTGGCTTATCAAAATAGGAGAGATAAGCTGAATTATCAAAGAATTATTAGCTACTAATCAGTTTTTATATCTGAAAATCAGGAATATTTACCAAAAAGTACCAATATGGGTATTCAAAGAATGAACTCTATAATGTCTCTTGTTTCCAATACTGGTTTGGTACATTATGTCAATCTTCAAAGGATTTGTCTGAATATCCTTTATTGCATCCATAAGCAATTGCATCAAAAATTAGTTATCTTAAAAAAGTCAATGCTCCCCTGTGCAAGTTATTCTCAATGTAAATGAGCACTTATTAATTCAACATAAAGTTTCGAGGCCTTATAGTTACACACATATAGTTACATACAGAGAGGAGGTGAGTGGCTATAGTTCATTCCAATTCTCCCCTGTCCTAATCATCCGTGGAGCAGCTATAATCTACTGGTCCATTTGTGGGCACATACACTGAGAACTTGAACTAGAACTTGAGTTCTCTCAAGTTTCCTCATTGGTAAGTCCAGAATTACCTGCCTAGTTTCCTTCTTTCCTCTCTTCTTTCTCCTAAACAACCCCTCTGCCCTTCAAAAGTGATCTATGGTCTTTATTCTATCCATTTACTCCTTTCTATGGATTATTCTTACTACTTCTTGTTTTGTTTGACAATGGTATCATAGGATTATAATTTGTATTTCTTCATCCTCTTTGCTACTTCTGTGGCTAGAAATATTTTTAGATATAGAAAATAATTTTTTGTTTTCCCTTGGCCCTCTTTTCTCTTGAACTATTATGCAATGGCTCTTTGGCCAGATTTCTCTAAAGGGAAGTTGATATCCACCCAATCCCAATGCCCTGAGAACACGTAGCATTGGTATCACCTGAGGACTTACTAGATGCACAGGATCACAGACCTCTGGAATCAGAGGTACGGTTCAACACAGTCCCCACCGTGGGGTTTCATTACAGTGGAGAAGCTCTAGCCTATACACCAGGTCTCTTCCAAATTCCCTTATGTAAAGTAAACTTTTCAGAATCTAGCATGGAGTGTCTCCTCATCATGACCCCCAAATTGAATAAGAAGTCATAAAGTCTCTAACGGGCTTTTAAATGGGCTGTGAATTCCCTGACCTCTCCATAATGAATCTTATTCCTTTTATTTTTTCCATTGCTCTTATTCTCGATATACTACATAGTGAAATAGAAACTTTCAAGAGTGGCAACATTCTTTTTATTTAATTCTGCAACTAGAATTGTACCTTCATGAACCAAGGTACCACGGAAAGCACATGTATGGCTGATCATGTATATTTATATTTACCTGTAATAAATAAAATCCAGCACTGCATAACCTAGTACTTCAATCCTCAATGTACTTGCAACATTGAGAACATAAGTGGAAAAATTCTGCTCCCCTTCATCAAGATTTGGTACCGAAAGCTCATTTGACATCCTTACACTTCTTATACCTTGCTCTTCCTTTCTCTAAACAAGTCACTATTCTCCCACCCTCCATACTTTCTTGTTTTTCCTTTATTGTTTGCATTATTCTTCTTATTCTTTACTCCTTCTGCTCCTCTTTGTTTTCCAACTTCCCTCAGACTTATAATAGATTGAATGGAACTAATAATTCTGCTCCTTTATTGGCTGTGAAATTCAACCTGTGGTTGACCATTGACATAAGTAACTTATTACTATTTTACTTGTGTTTTTCCTTACTACGTGCTCAATACGTAAATTTCTTTGGTGATTAGAACATAGTAATGCTCTGGTTTTAAATAAACAAGTTGTAAGATGGCTTTTCTAAATACATACATATATATATATACACACATGCATATACATATATATGTATATATATATATGTGTGTATATATATATATATATATATATATATGCACATTTCTTACCTTCTACTTGTGTATTTCCTGTATGGTTTCCTTTTTCATCTGCAGCCCCAGATAAATGATCACCAGGCTTCTGTGGAAGATTCTCAGAGATACTCTGATTAAATTAGTACATCAGTATTAGTACATCAGTACTAATGTTGCACAAACATTTCCTAATTATTTTTATGAAAACATCTAATTTTTCTATTTTAAAAGCAGTTAGAGCAAGGCCTGGTGTCATATGTCAGTAATCACAGCATCAGGAGGCTCAGGCAGGAGGCCTGCTGTGAGTTGAAGGCCAGCCTGAATGACATAGTGAGACATTGCCTCAAAAAGTCAAACAAGCAATTCGATTTAATAATGGGAAGCATATCCTGAAAACCAGAACATTTCAAAGAGAATCTCCTGTCAAGCCCACGTTGTATCTCCATGTGAGTGACACTGTAAAACAAGCATGGGAAGCCGCAGGAGAGATTCACAGGCAAAATCCTGTCTGGTGTGCATTATTTCTACCTGGCTTCAGAATACCTAACTCTACTTTGCATTCCCCAACAGGGATAACATTTCTTTAAAGTACAGACTTCAATTGAAAGATTTTAAAGTATAAGAGGTTTTTCTTGAGTGTGTGTTTGTGATATATCACACATGCTTTGGGGAACTGGTACATATGTTATCATTTCTTGATCACCTTTGTTCCTTTACCCCCTTCTCCCCCTTTCCCTTTGCTGATAAAACTGATTCTTGGCAGTGCACTTGATATAATTCAGCATTCAGTATTTCTAATCACAGAAGTCATTTTAGTGTTACAATACTTGTCAAGCTAAGAAATTTCAGTGTCCCATATTGAGTACAAGTAACATTGTAGAAGCTGCTTCTTTTATGTAAACAAGGGCTCAGGGGAAAAATCTAATGTTTTAAGTAAAAATTTTATTGATAGGAAAAATGGCTGAAAATAAAAAAATAAGTTTATGTTATACTGAAACAACAATATGCAAATATTAGTTACTGCATGCACCTCTTTCCAAATTAAGAAATTCAGGAAAGTATAAAAAGTCTCATTAAAAAGGGCAGCATAAGAACTTTTATTTATTACATTTCTACCATGTTCCAAATTCTTATTTATACACTTTCTGGACAGATGTGGCTCACTGCTGGCTCTGTCCAGAATATCCTCCTACACTTTGGCACGGGTGGCTTCTCCTCCTTAATTTGGCAACAGTTCTCTCTCTTTCCTATCCTACCCACAAAACCCCTCAAAATTCTCTAACCTCCCCAGGCAATGCAGCAGCTTCTTATCACTAAGTGATTAGGCCTTCCCCACAATGGTCCTCTTAGAATAAGTTTTCATTATTTACACTTTTGTCACTAAAGGAATGGCTGCCATACAGAGGGTGCATTTCACATTCAATATTGGTTTCTGTTTTTTAAATGTAATGAAATCAAACTGTGATTATAATCCCATGTACTGACAACGCCTCAATCTCTTCCTTCTCAATTGTTCCTTGCAGACCTACAATTGTTGGGTTAGTTATTTTTCTCTCCTGTTGAGAAAAGATACCTGACACCCACCTCCTACAGCTAGAGGGGAAGTTCATTTGGCTCACAGTCTGTAGAAGGCGCAGTCCACAGTTGGCGGGCTCCAAGGCAGGGATGGCAAACAGGCATCACAAAAGAGAAACAACAGGGCAGCCACAAGGTAACAAAGGCAACAAGGCAACTTCACCCATCTTCTCCCTCTTTTATCCCATTCAGACTCCCGGGATGTGTAGTGCTTTAGTAATCACATGGCTCTGATCCCAACATCATATATTCCAGATACTGCTACTTCTGATTGTATGAGGTTTTGGGGGGACATCCAGACTCCAACCATAACAGCTGGCAATCCAAATACAGTAACACTTTCAGGTCTCCCTCATTAAATTTTCAAGTTACAAGCTGTACAATGATCTAAACATTTCCTCTGAATTTCATTGGCCAGAGGCTAAGAATAATTCTTTAGCTTTTAGATCAATTTAATTTCAGAATCCAAGCTGATTGCTTGTGAAATCTAAGATTTAATTTTTAACTGCATTGGCTTCATTAAATGAACCCTACAGATTAGCAGAAATGTACTATGTAGCACTAACATACGTAGACTTCATTCATTTCTTCATCTATTGGATGAGGGATTAAACTCAGGGTCTTCAAACAGATACAACCCTAATCCTCTTCACGTTTTTTTGCAAGAGTAAATTGGTAGGTTATCTAGGGTTTGACAATGTAATCCTCCTGCTTCAGCCTCCCAGAGTGCTGGGATATAAGAAATACATCAGTTTGTCTGAGAGATTGTTTTATTGCCTATGGTTTAAAAAATATGAGGAAATGATTTCTTATAGGCATATACAGAGGTGAGCTAGTAAAGTCCAATTATTTTCCTCTATATTTAAATCTCATTTAATGCTTACTAAAAAAAATTATAAAAAATAAACAGTACCTCTGAATCCCAAGGTGATTCATCATCTTTTCTTAATCCCAGTGGCAACAACATATCTATAAAATGTAGCCACAGACACATTAAGGAGAACATTTACTGCTGTGAATTTTAAAGACATGTGCAAATCTGTCTGCATTCATGAATGTTTCAATAAGATCAAAGTAACAGTGAAAAAGAATTTCAGAGGGTTGAAGCAGTTGGGGGAAGAAGTTGGTGGTAGGAAAATAAAAAAAATAAAAGAATTGGGCATCGTGTTTGGGATCTACACACTTTTAAAATAATAGGATATAAACAAGACACTTTCAGAAATATTCACTAACTTACCACTTTTATACTTTTTGCACCCTCTGCCTTTACCCTCTGCTGTTTTTCTAAACAGTGACACTGTTGATTCTTCCTATATAGATACATAAAGAAAAATAATGGATCATCGAAAAACACACATAGAAATAACAAAGCAAAAGAAAAACACAGACTTAAACATTTGCTCACCCACCCAGAAAGTCAGTAAAATGGAAAAAAAATCACAAACCAATCAATTAAATCACTGGGGTTCCTCTGGAGAAGTTAGAACTGAAAACACATTCTTCTCTATGTGCAAACAGGTGCAAAGATATATGAAAACAGGAACAGAAAAAGTGTATTTCATTGATTCTACAGCTGGGGCCCAAATCAAGAACAGTCAGTTCTACCCAGGAAGCTCAGGAAAAGCCACACGCCTTTGGTCCTATTTTGAAAGGGAGAAGAAGTGGGCAGTAAGGGTATGAAGACCACTCCAGACTGGGCAGCATAAACAAAAGGATGAGGCACGAAACAACAGAGCAAGGGAGGGATGCCCAAGTAATGGGACGAAAATGGAATACAGTTCCTCAAATGGATGGACAGATAAGACAGGAGCTTCAGGGGCCAACCACACAGCACTTGTCTCAGGCTAGAATGGGAACCTTGCCCTCTGTAATGGCACACCCATATTCTTCAGAAAAGGCCACCTTGGCAACAGTATAATGAGTATGTAGCAGTAGAATAAGCAGTAGATGAGCATGATGGGGGAGGGAGGAGAATAGGGTATTATTTCAAATTGATAGGAAAGAAAATGAATGCAGATGGGAAAAATCTGTGAGCAGGTAGGAAACACAGAATGTGAAAGGCTGGGTGGATGATCAGGCCGATGGCTTAGGCCCATGTCTTCAGAGATTCAGTGTCATTTATTAATAGCCAGGGAATAGTCAAGGTCAAGTTGTTCAAGGTGGAACATCAAATTTGAGGGCCCCAGAGAACTTAGAAGACAGGACTGAGTATATATTTGGAGAAGTAGTAGATGACCTTATTCAGGAAAGCATATTGGCTCAGGAGGGTATGTATTTGTAAAATACATTAGACTGTAATAAGGCTATCCTACACAGAAGTCTGAAACTCTTGAAATGAAAGCAAAAGAGGCAAAAATTGGGGAGATTTAAGCTTTCCATTGTATACGTTAATATTTGATTCAAGGAGGTAAACATATACTGTTTTTAATATATGCAAATATTTATTTCTGTGATATGCTAGTACGAATTTTTAAATTTAATGAAGGGTTTAATTCTAAAACACCAATTTAAACTTTTTGCAAAAAAATTCCTATTTAAAAGCAAATCTTGCAAGTTTTCAATGTAAGTCAGGCATGGTGATGTGCACCTGTGGTCCAACCATGTGAGAGGCTCAGGTGGTATGAGCACTTCAACCCAGGAATGTGAGGGCCACCTGGCAAGCATGAAGAGACCCCATCTCATAAAAGAAAAACAGGAAGCTGGGGACTTAGCTTAGTGGCACTGCTTCTGCCTTGCATGTGCAAGGTCCTGTGTTCAATCCCTGGTACCAAAAAAAAAAAAAAAATTATAGAAGAGAAATGCTGATGTGCTTATAGAATTAGGCATTTTTAAGAAAGAACTGTAAAACCCTATTTTAAAAATTCATGTTGTTTTTCTGTTCCTCTATAAACAGCATATATCAACAGCTCTGATTTCCTATTCATACTATATGGGATGGTAGTTAAAAATTAAAGAAAGGTTGCCACACATTGTGCCACATGTTGGTAATCCCAGCACACTCAGGAGGCTGAGATAGAAGATTACTGTGAGTGTGAGGACAGCCTGGGCTACAGAAGGAGCTCTAAGTTCGCCTGAACTACATAGCGAGATCCTGTCTCAAAAACCAAAAATCCAAGAAAGGATCTAGTATAAAAATAGAAAACCATCATTTTCAAGATTGAAGATTTCTAATTCTTCAAGTACTTTTCAAATAGTCTTCAAATACCTGTCAATCAGGACTCAACATTCATATGAAGAAGGGGCTAAACTAGCTCATCAGTAGGATTCCTGAGTTATAAAATGAGAAAATTTAAGTGGAAGGCTTAATAACTATAAATATTTAGGATGGAGTGTATCAAAGCCATTCATTACTTGCCTAGCATGTGGTGGACTTGATCCTAAGCACCAAAGTGGGAAAATCAAATCCCAAAAAGCTATGACTACTGAATTGAATAATGCTTCTTTAGAATAACATTAAATATCCCCATTGCTGAAGGTATTTTAAAAATTTTTAAGCAATCATATTTAAGAGATAATTAGCAATCTTTTTTTTCCTGGTGGTTCTATCATCACGGGTAGTTTATTTTAGCGAAAAAAATCACAAATTGTGATTTCATTATTTGATGTATCCATATGCATGTCCACTACATGAAGAGATTATTAGAAGATAAATCAGAATCATTCCAGAAATAAATTTCTTCAAAAATTTTCCCTCTAAGAAAGATACAGCTTGCAGTTTGTCATAGCTATATCTTGGAAACAGCCTAAATACTGACCAACTAATGAATGGGTAAAGATGTGGGTTTTTATATATACATACAATGGAGCACTACTCTGCCATAAAGAAGGATGGGCTTCTGACATTTATAGCTCAATGTATAGACCTTGACACCATACGCTCAGGTGAAATAAATTGGACACACATGTTTAAATAACACACTGTTTTTCTGCTGTGAGAAACCAAAAGTGGAAAGAAGAACTAAAATGTATAACAAATTATTAGGAAATGTGAAGAAATAATCAAATGGGAATGGGAACAAGTGATGGGGGAGGCAGAAAGGAAGGAAGCAACAAGCAAAAACGTGCAAAAAATGGAAGCAAAGATTTGTATATAGGGAGAGAAGGGGTCTTGAGGTGGAGGGAATGCGAAAAAGTGGTAGGATGTACAGTGTGCAGGTGCACATTCCCTATGATGATTGTTATCATTATATGTGCATGAAGCGCACAATAAATGTTTTGCTATAAAAAAGTGGTGCTGCTTAAATGTATTTCCTCATATAATGGATAAAGATTAAAAATCATATTGAGGGCTAGGTGGAGCTCAATGGTAGAGTGCTTTCCTACCATGCAGGAAGTTCTGGGATCTCCAAAGTTGGGGAGTGGGAGAAGAATCTCAATTATGTAGCTGGGAATTTTAATTTATGAAATAATTAAATACAGTGCTTATTTATTTTCTCTTTGTTCTCAAGAATATTTGGCAAGACATGTACACCGAGCACTGAATTAAACAACAACAAAAAAACACATAATGAGTCAACTATTAATAATTCATAATAATTTTAGTAAGGTTTAAAATGCATTTCATTTTGCATTATCTATCGTAGCAGACAACTCTACCCAGGGTTAGCAGGCCATCAGTGGCACAAACTTCTTGTCCCTCTACAGTTCAGCTGTGTTACCTTAGGAGTCTGACCGAAGCTTTATGTGACTCACATGGGTGTGTCAGGTAGCAGAGTTGGGCTAGTGCTGCTCCTTTGCTAATGGCTGCTACCAATGCTTAAGTCCTAGTCCATGAAGCAGCAGGGCTTTGATGAGTTCACTTCTAGCCAAGGTCATCTAACTCCAACTAAATTCTTCCTCCCTCCATTCACCATTTGTTCTCCTCAGTAAAGATACGCCGGTGCCCCTGTCTGCCATGCTTGTCATCAGCAGTTGTCCTGAGACCTGCCCAGTTACCCTCCTTTCCACTCTCATAAAGAATAAACACTGGATGTCTTTGTTGCCTTTGGTCTTTGCTGCCCAGGGCATCTTAGATCAGCCCAATACCCAGCTTTTTCTCTCACATCTCTGGGTCTGTTTCTTTTGTTCTCTCTTCCCTATCTTGCGGGCAATGTACCTGTCTCACAGGAGAATGAGACACACTGCAAGGGTCACTGACAATGTTCTCTACAATCTATGAATATCAGATTTGCAGGAGTAAACAGGAGATATCACTTTATTGAACTTAGCAAAAATGAAGATCACCTTTTCAGTTCTATCAAATCAATTATAGGTAATTTAAAAGGGTGTGATTTCTAACACATAATAGAGTTTCTACTCTCATTTGACTTGTTTTTATAATATTTGATTTTGGCTCTCATAATCTTATTATAAAGTCTTGTCTTGTAAATGAGACTTCTCATTCATTGTCAGCTTCATATCATCATTTTTGTTGTTTTCTTTTGTTGTTTGCCACTAAAATGACACACATAAAAACATTTTACTCCCATCAACTTCTATAAATCTCAATTCTGTACATAAATCTCTTATTATACTTATTTTCTGTTATGATCTTATGACCCTATATTTCTTTCTAGGGTCATATGTGGCTAAATACATGGGGAAAAGTATTTTTAAAAAGATCTTACATGTGATGGTGATAAAATGGAAGACTGAGAGAAGCTCTCAACATCATCTGATGTTTTAGCATGAGTTTCCACGTTATCTTTGCTTTCACCATCAGAAATACGGTCGTCAAGAGGGGTTGTGTTTCGTGATTCCTCAGTGCCATATTTTGCTTCTATAACAATAAAATTAAAGTAAATTGTACATAAAGAAAAAAATCTACAACTTCAAATCAATGAATAGCACAGGAGTAGGCCATCTTTATCCAATAGCTTACGCTTTTCCCCGCTTTGGTGAGCAGCAGTCCATAGCTCAGCTAGGTTTACTTTGGGGAGATTCTAGAAGAAAAAAATAATAATCGTGTTAAGAATCACAAGTATTAAATCTGATAAAATAGCATTCACCTTTACTACATGATCTAACATTAAGAGCCCAGGATTTGGAATCATTCAGATATAGATTCAAACCCCAATCTGCCATTTGCTAATCTCCATCTTCTTCAAGGGGTGAAGGCTATGAAAGATAATGGAAATAACCCATAATGCTACTCCTAATACCTTTAGTTAATTATGTAAATACTAGAACATTTACTAGACTATGTTCTTAACTTAAAAAACCAAAAACAAATATGTATCCCTTTGTAGTTTAGAGTACTTGGAAAAAACTAACATTTTATGAAATAAAAATTCATTTTGTATTCTATTCTGAACATGTTTGCATGATTTATATTTTCATGAATTACCTCAGGAGGAGAAAAATTAATAGTTGAGTTTTTAATAGTATCATATTTAGATAGGTTAGAATTACCACCACTATAAGTTGCTTCTATTCTGTATGTCACATATGTCAAATAGATAACCACAAATGATTATATGAATTCGGCTCCTTTCAAGAAAGACAAGAATAAATCCTGTGGAACAGTGATTGATAAATCAAAGCCACACAATAACTAGCAGAAATATGTTGACTAAATATATCATGAACATGAAGGTGGACTGAAGGAACAGAAACTACATAAGTATTTTGTGTAAGAAAAACTTAGGGATTGAGGTAAATTATTTAAAGTGGTAATAAAGGACAAACTCTCTCTCTCTCTCTCTCTCTCTCTCTCTCACACACACACACAAACACAAACACACACACACACACACACACACACACACACACACACACATAGAGTTGGGTGGAGAAGAGAGAAGGCAGAGAAGAAAGAAGAGAGAGATGACCAGTCAACTGAATAGGAACTTTAACCAAGGAAGAAAGGAAAAATATTAAGAAGAAAGTATGTAAAAATGTAGACTTTTGTTCAGTCTTTGAAAAGATTACCTGTTTGCATTATACTACTGTTATTTCTTATAAATACTAAAATAGATTCATTACTATAACATAATTCAATTAAACATGCCATCTACCAGTACCTGAGAAATGCAGCATTAATACTAGTTAAGAAAGATAAAACAATGTTCCACCAATTTTCCATCTACAGAAAGAATTGCTAATCAGAATTGTAAAGAGAAATGAACGTCTTGAAAAGATATATTTAATAGAACATGGAGTTTAAGATATTTTAGCATAAAATCCTAACCTAAGTTCAGAGTTAAAGGAAACTAGGGTGTACTGTAACCTTCGTCCCTATTTATATACCCTAATTTGTTTACTTCATATTTATGACATATTTCTTCAAGAAAATTCACCGGAACTTATATATCCTAAACATTAAAAGGGAATACTCACAGAGTTCTCTGCTAGATAAAATGGCCCTAACCTTGCATCCTAAATGGCTCTTCAGAGTACACTATAAATCAGTCTGGGGAAACAAAAACCAAGATTTCCTGCCACAAAGCTCTCCCACCTCTAGTCTCCTTCCCACCAGGACAGTCAATCCTTCCAATGGATTTGAACCTCACCTCTGAATCTCTACCTACTATGTCCGCCCCAGTGAGCCCTTGCCCATATAAAGCATCACCCAGCCAGCCCCTGCCCCATTGCTCTCACCACTGTCTGAGACAGCCTCCTAGCTCATCCTCTGCACCTTGTCCCCCTAATAAAAGCCTAGTTTTGGGTGTTTGTATCTCTGGCTCAATTCTCATCCTCTCAAATATAATTTAGGCCATACTTTTAGAATTTTAATAGACTTGACTATTACGAAAATCATGCATATATAAAACACTATTATGTAGAAATCCATTGATTGACATTAAAAATATTGCTTCTTAATATAAAACATCTTATACCAAGTGTTCAGGGTATCATAAACATATTTCTTAATCTCTAATAGCTCACAGTAATGCAAGAGATTTAACATGAGTATTTTGAAATATAAAAATAAAACTTCTGAAACTTGAAATGTTAGAATGAGATACGAGGATATTGATTGGATATTTTTAAAAGCTATAATATAAAAAATTTCTTAAAGCTCTACTATAAGGTTATTGGGAGTATCTGGTCCCAGAATTGGTTATTATTTTGGGTAAAACATGAATTCTTCAATCAGTTCAAGAACTTTAAATACAGTGCACTCTTAATGGAAGCATGACTTAGAAAATACAGTGCAGTCAGATGTGTTGGCAGTTAATTGCCAGCTTGGGGAATTTAGTGAGACCTTGACTTAGATAGATAGATAGATGATACATACCTACATACATGCATACATATATACAGGACTGAGGATGTAGCTAATTGGAAAGGCCCTATGATCCACTCCCAGAAACAAAATAACAACAACAAAAAAACTGTAATTCTTTAGTAATACAGATTTTAAGAAAGAGATTTAAAATTCCTAAATTTAAACAATTTCTAATATAATTTTAGTCTAAAAAAAGAGCCAAGAATAAAGCTCTCATAAACTGTTATGATACTACAATAAAAACTACTTAAAAGAAAAAATATATTTTATGTGCTGTAAGTTTTGAAAATAAAGGCACCAAATTTCCATGGTAATTATAAAGACTAATAGTATCCATTTTTACATTTATTTAAGCATAGAATTATAAAAGTCATGGTAGTACACATTTAAAAGTCATAGTAAGGTACACTTATCCATGTAATCCTTCACCATATTTTCTATTTCCTCTATTGTGAGAAAGTTTTGCCTAATACAATTTTCCTGTCACTATGTATTTTGTAGCCCATTACTTTGTTTCAGTCCCTGATACCTCAGAGAACTTACCAGTTATTTACCAAAGGAAAAAGAAAAAAAATCTCATGTAAAACTATGGTAGGTAGAGCATTGCTAAATTTGAAGACTAAGCAGTATACAAAGCAAAACTATGAGTAAAAAAATTAACTTTCCAAAAGAGTACTTTACCATGTCATCAAAATTATCATCATCCCCCACTGATGAGTCAAAAGGATCACGTTTGTTAGAAAACCTTTAAGGCAAAAATATAAAACAAAAGCAGGTGAGTTTTGTCCTTAAAAACTGGTTATCTGTACACGAACGTTTCTTGGTTGATACAATTCAAATTTAACCTGTTTTTATGAAGGTTTTAGCTACTGTTTTCTGTCTCCTTTCAATTTATGAAATGGTCAGTGAAGATTCCCTTTCTCTCACACATCAGAAACAGACAGCCAACAGACTAGCAGGGCCTGAAAATAATTTGTTGGTACAAATTGCCTGACCTGAAGGCTGAACTGAAAAATCCAACCAATGGTTGACATAAGTGTTGTTACCTGGACTGAGCAAACCTGTGAATCTTAAGGTAGATAGACTGATATACTGTCCCCTTTCCATAGTCTCTCCCTGTTCCAACAACTAAGCTGGATGTGATGGTTTACATTGAAAATGAATGCAGCAATTCTTCTGTGTAGAAGGTGTATGGGTTATGAAGAGCTATACTCATCAGGTCACTCATCCAAGTGCAAGTTCAATAGCTGAACTTGTTCTCAGGAGGTGGGGGTGGTTGGAGACAGGTCACTGGGCCATGAGCTGGAAGGGTATATTCCTGTCCCTGGCTCTTCTGCCCTCTAACTGCTTTCTTGAAAATTTTACTATGCATATTATCAGATCACAGTGGAATAAAACTAGAAATCAATAGCAAAAGAAACCACAAGAATTAGGCAAACATATAGAAATTAAATAACACTTTTGAATAATCAGTCACAGAGGAAATTAAGGCAGAAGTAAGACAATTCTCAAAATTAAATGAAAATACAATTCATGGGACACAATGAAAGCAGTCCCATGAAGGAAGAATGCAGCAGGGAATGCCCACATCAGAACAATAGAATGAGCTCAAATAAATAACCTAATGATGCATCCCACGGTCTTAGAAAAACAAGAACAGTCCAAACACACAGGTGT